TAATAATCTTCTAGAGTTGCCCACTTATACACTGGATACTGAATGCTCATTTGGATTATTGACTTGATAAGATATTGAGTCACTGAATAGAACAAGGTATGCCCTAGGCTACTAAGCATATTTCAGGATTTCACCCTGACTTTACCACTTTTACTTCATGCCTTAGTTTTAATGGATAATATTCAAAATATGCTTTGTAGCCAGTCTCTCTGCTTGTTATTAAATATTTTGATCCTAAGTGTAGTGTATTTGCAGTATCAATCTCAGCAGAGGACAAAGCAGTAGATTAACAGAATAAAACCTGGTCCTGTCAGCTTTTAGTGGAAGTGAACAGCTGTAAAGTGTTTATTAATAATGTAATATGCTAGCTGAGACTCAACAAACTGTTTTGTTAGGCATCCCTGCCCTAACACTGTGACAGACTTTTGCAACCATTAGATTTGTGAAGAGTCCTACCCCATGACATGGGCAAGTTTAACATTATGCATATTTCATAGATGAGGAAGTAGGCATGGTGTAATGCATGCACAGGCAATGAATTGTTGGAGTTGACATTAGACAAACTGATTCTGCCCTTAGATCACTGGTACTTCTCTGAACCTCCTGCTGACAAAGTGCAAGACAGTCTCCTTACTCACCAGTTACTTTTCAACGGTTTGTTCTCTTCCTCCAGATGCTGGACATCCCACGAGTGCTGGACATGTTGAGGCAGCAGAGAATGATGATGGTGCAGACTCTTTCACAGTACACTTTCGTCTATGGAGTTCTCATTCAGTTTCTCAAAAGTTCTAGACTTATATAGTCCCTGCCACTTCCTAAGGAACACTGCAAGAGTTTACAGAAAGACCACTACAGTTGTCCAGGCAGACCTGCTCTCACTGGTGTTTTCTTCCTATGAGGAATCACACAGTTACCTTTTAGGGTTGGTATGTGACTGTTTAATGCAAGTCAAGTAACAGTCCCTGCAAAGTAGGATCTTCACTGGACTAAATTCCCATGTTCAGCTGCAGTTATATTAGGGAATGATTTTACTTGTACTGCTCTGTAGTACTTGCGTATATTCTTTAGAGTGGTGTTACTCTGGTCAAAATAAGTATATTATGGAATGGAAGTACATGGCACAATTTTACTAATGTTATGTTTTGAAATATAATTGTTAACTGTGTGAAAGCTAAACTCTGAAAGTGCACATGGGGTGAGAAGCCTGCTCCTTGGGAATGTCAAGGTCTTACATAGTTTCATTCTGCTTTCAATTTTATATTTAGAACAATACAACTATATTTTTTCAAATGAACTTTTGGTTTCCTCTGGCTTACTCAGAAAAACTAGAAGCTCTTGGATATTTCAAGCTGTTGCTTTAAGGGCAGTTATTTTTATTTTCAGCCTTTTTTAATTAAAAAAACCCAAAACACCACAACCCAAAACTTTTTAAGCAGAATAATATTTTCAGTGAAGACTTGACAATGTTTGAACTAACTTTTAAAAAATCAGAAAGAAAGTATTAGGGAGGGCTATTGGTAGTTACTTGTAGCGCTGTGTAATAGAACTGACAAATGAAAGATGATGATAACTGTTAATAACTTTCATTTGAGCGGAGGCATGTTTACCTGCAACAAACAGGGGGAAAATATTGTAATTATCTACAAGGTTGTTGGAAACAAGTGGATGAGAGAAAGTACATATTCAGTATTATTCATATATTTAGAGGACAGTTTGATTTTACTGGCTGAAATCAAAGTGGATGCAAATGTTTTAAGCACTTTTTTTCTCTTGTTATTTATGTAGTTAAACATAGAAATTATAATAACGCATTATTGTTTCTTGCGGTAATATGCCATTACTAACCTGTAATTTTAGGAAGAGACTTTTAAGTTGATAAAGTGAGAGTATCAAAACTGGAGTAAGAAGGTGCACAGTGGTGAAGTGGAAATGATCATATGAAACAGAATGGAGGAGGTGTGGCAGCAATGATTGCTGGTTTACACAGTGCAAAGGTGACCAGTAAAAATGTTTATGTTCTCAGACAAGAAAGCCTTTAAAGCACTGGAAGTTTCTGCAGAATCCTCCACGTTATTTTGTCAGTACTAGAACAGATTTTGCTAGTGCTGTGCAGTGTTGCAATGAAAAATATCCATAGAAGCCGTTTGAGAACACCTGCAGAATGTAAGAGCTCTTAGAGGCGAGACTGGAGATGTGGGTATTTTAGTAGCTGTGTAGGTGGCTGAGTCAATGGCTGTGGCATGGACCTAAAGAGAATTGTACCTCTGGTGGTTTCCATTTTGTTGCGTGGTCTGGTTCAATGATGGTATCCCTAAATAGTCCTCTGTCTGTGGTTTTCAGATGGGGTCAGTGTGGTTTTTACCTGCCTTCTCAAGTGTTTTGAGATGCTGAGTTGAAAATCCCTGTTCAAAAATTAAATATTGGTTTGTAGATACCTGGTTTATTTTTAAAACAACCCTATGGTAGACCAGTCTGCACACATGTTTAAAAGTGTCCATTTCCCTTGATACCTCCTTAGCAAAATGAAATGAGACTGAAAGTCATTTTTATTATAGGTGAAATTACTTGTTTTTTTCCTGAGCTATAGCGAGGGTTTGGAAACTATTAGGAATAATTAAACCCCCTTCAAGATAATAATTGTCTCAAAAACATTAATTAAGAATTGTAAATAAGTTGCCTCAGTTTCCTCTGTAATAAGCTACTTCCACAAAGGAAAACACATGGTCCAAATGACATTGTGCTAATAGGTCATTCTATATAGAACATATCAGTTTAAAGTACACTGTTATTCTGGTTAATCTAGTGCATTTGGTCTGCTTTCAGGCAGTCTGAATTGTTGTATTCTTACTAAAAGTAATATAGAATATTTCAGATGAGGAAAAAAATACGTTCTTTTTATAACTATAAAATGCCTATAAAGTGCCAAATGTAAAACTGGAAGTTCAGAGGAAAGCAGTTACTGAAGACATTCTTTTCTATAGAAAGCTGGAAAACAAACCAATCTAATATCTCTGTGTTATCAAAGTATTGAAAGAAACAAACATTCTTAGCTATTTGCATCATGCTGTGTTTTAAAAACCTTGCTAGTTTTTGCCACAGTTCACTTATATCTTCAGAAATATTTTTGAATAGGAAGGTATGCTCTAAAAAGTAGCTCATACCATTTCCACTACTAAACTTTGGACTGATCTTCATAGCCTGCTACGTGCAGCTTTTAAAGAAATTATACACAACCACAACTTCAAGCAATAATTTTTAGCAGTTCAGCAGTTACTGGGGCAGAACATAAGCTGTGAGACATTAAAAGGAGCAGTTAAAACAAGGGATTTAATCCTAAATTTATGGGATTATCTGAGGTGGGTGAGGAAATGTGTGTCTTCTGGCTTTCTTTTCTGTTCTGATGAAAGAAGTTGTGTTCACATTTAGAGGCAGTTGCTCTTTAATCTGGTAGTCATGGTCTTGATTTGTATTTTTTAAGCATAGCACTGCTACCTCCTCCACTTCAGCCTTCAGTTCTGTCCGTCAGTAGCCCGTGTTTGCATTAACAGACTTGATCTTAACAGACTTGACTTTATGTAAGTTTTCCTACTGAAAGAGGAGGATTGCTTTTGTATGTAAACATATGGCTCCAAGTGAGTAGTGAAAATGAGCAGTTTCTCTTACAAAGATACCAAATGAATATAAACGTTAAAACATCCTGTAACAAAATTAATTTTAAACCCATTGTTTAGATTTTCAGTTAACTTTTAAAAGAAAATCCAGCTTTTAGCACTTTGTTCTGAGCCTTGAAAAGGGATGCTTTTTTACATGTAGTTTTGCTGAATGCTCCGTGAAGTGTTGGACATTTTAAGAACATCCACTGTCCAGATCCAGTCAGAGTGTGAGTCAGTCAGGTGTGGATTTATTTGTCAAAAGAGTAAAATTCCACTATAAGCATGTCCTTTTTGCCAGATGTGCTTCTGTTCCTGTGGGGATGAAGATGATAGATTGTTATGCAAGATTTGAGCTCTTTTTTTTAGTAAGAAAAGTTGTGTGAAGACATTCTTGCAAAGATGATGCTGATCTCTAGGGATGTCAGAGCTCTCAGGGATAAATAAAGGTGCTATATACTGTGAAGAGACAGGATTTGACCGATTTTTTTTTTTTTTTTTTTTTTTTTTGTGGGCTACATGGAAAATTACTTCTTAGCCTATGAAGAGTCAGGAGAAGAAGCCACAAGCTGTAGTAAGGGCTTCTGCACATTTGATTCTTTTCTTGGTTGCTCTGATGAGAGATTTTCTGGCTACTGAATCTTTGTGATCTTGGCCTAGCAGCTCTTGTCTGAGCACATGAATCAGAGCCCTGTTCATTGCAAAGATGTTGCTAACTTAACAGGCTTAACTGTAGACTGCAAATCACTCCTCACCCCATTGTGGGAGGGAGAAGCTCTGTGGTACACAGGGGAGTTTTGCAAAGCTTTTCTGCCTCCTGCACAGTAGTTCTCTCCTTTTTCTGCTGTCCCCCACGAAGAGCAGAAAAAGTTTTATGCCTTAGTATTGCTGTCCTGGTGATACCTTTTAAACAGGCAAACAGTAAAGACTGCAAGTGCAGGTTTATGGCTTATATCTAGAAATCTAATTCAAAGCAGGTGAGCAAGGCAGAGTTCTGTGGATGAGAAGCTGCTCTAAGTTATCAACATTTAGAAAAAAGTAAAATGAAGTAATAAGAAGAAAATAAATGTGTACTAAAATGGAAAAAATTCTTGGCATTTTGAGCAATGTATTTTTGGCTCCCCTTGTTATCGCGTGTATCTTTTGTTGAAGTGGATGACATTAGGTGCAATTTTCTCCAAAAATGCTTCTTAATTTTCATAATTAAGACTACCTGAGGCTGCTGCTACATTTTTCTTGTTGGAGTAGCTGAAGTTGAGTGACTCATAGATTTCAGTGGGCTCTGGACCAAACTTGGGAACTGCAGGGTGGTTTATCATACCACCCTGTGGTATGTGGAGTGAGACCTGTTAGCTGTGGAGTGAGACCTCAGTTTTAATATCAGTAGTGTTCCTAAAACCCTGGACTTAAAATTAGTGAACTCATTACTATATTTCAGTAGTTAGTTCAAATTGTTAACTTGAAAAACCCAATGCTTCAATTGCTAAGAACACTGTGCTTTAGGGTCTGGTTGTTTTTCAATACTGCAAAGTCATGCAGTCCAGAGTCCAGTCCTGCAAGATGCAAAATTCTTGCTTCTTCGTACTGTAGGAATTAAAAAGGGCTTATTGCCGAGGAAAGCTTGAACCCTTAAAGCATGAATACTCACATGTCTGCTTTAAATTTAAATACAGATTACAAGAACTAACCAAAAGAATGCAGCAGGAATGTGCATACATGAAGCTACAGTATTCAAAGTAAAAGCGGCTGAGAGAGTTCGATACATGTTCTCTTGTGAAAGTGCAAAATGTTGGAAGCAGAGAGTGAGGATTTGAAGAATGGCTGAAGGCATTTGGAGGAGGATTTGGAATGTTTTGTATCTGCAGTAGAGCTGCTAGGAGCGTTTGATTCATATGGTATGTTTGTCTTGGCATGGTAGGGTAAATTAATATGTAGTCATAGGTGTTATTTTTACTGGCTTTTTAAAACGTGATTTTTATTTTTTTTTTAAAATTACAGATATTTTTTGCAGAGGTTCCGTTATTTTTACACATCTTCCTTTCCAAATGTATTTAATTCAATCTGTCAGCTCAGTTTCTGTTTACTTATTAAAGGTCAGATTTTCAAACCACGGTCTTTGGTTTTACACATGCAAAATGCCAGGGGAATAGGCATATATGCAACTTTGAAGTGGTAATTTCTAAATGGATGCAGGTTAGATGATTTCAAAGTCTAAATACTGTATGAATGCAGCCAGGTGTTTACAGTAGGCGTGAACTGAACCAAGTTAAGGCTGGGCTGAAAATCAAGCCCTTGAAATGTGGAATTTAACATGTGCTTAGAAGGTGTGTTGTAGTACAGCATTTGCAATGCAGTGATATTAAAATGATATAATACTGTGTTAAGGGAAAAAATGTTAAAACTTCTGACACTTGTTGTAAACATATTTGTAAAAATATTTAAAATAAATAAAAAATTCATAGTGAGATCCTGTTGGGGACCAGCTAACTTGGTGCATTCTGTTGGCACATGTTATTTTAAGGTCTACAGGGGCTGAAAAAAAAAGGTTTTGTTAACTTCAATGAGCATTTCAAAAGACAGTTGCTAAATGGCCTTTGGTTCTATTCTTTGCTATTTTCCACATGATGCTGTGTTCAGTGGTGAAGAATAACCTCCAGTGTATTTGTTCTTTAGAAGACTATTCTTCGTCTCTAATTAGGGAATGAAGATAGAAATCAAATGCAAAGAATCTAATGAATAGAGTTTACAACAGGTCCAGCCTGTGGCAAGTTAGAGAGCAAGTCTGTAGATACTATAACGTTAGTTTGGTTCAGAAATGTGGCAGTCAAAACTACCAAATCATTAATTTTATGAGCACAGTTTCAGAAGGTGCCTAACTTTTATAAAGGGAATTTAAATGCTGTTTTTTTCCAGTTGGGAATATTTAGGTAGAATTAGGAGGCTTTAAAAATACTTCAAAGACTGCAAGAAAACCTGATGGGAGAAAACTGTGTAAAAGCCCTCCAGACTTTCACCTTGGTAATCCTGGATAATTCTGACAGGGTTTATATGCTCTTTACAAAGATATTTTGCTTTGAAATACCCAACATATCTGTCCTCTTTATGACTGATCTGGGGGGACTTGGATGGAAATTGCAGAGGCTTGACCTGGCAGAGCAGTAAGTATGTGCACTCCTGCACACTGCTGAAATCTCTTCATCCAGTCAAAGCAAATAGGTGTTTGAAGTCCTTTCAGCAGTTCTGCAGAATTGAGTCCTTAATGTCAGAGGAATTCAGGATCTGGCTCCATTTTCTTCCATTTTCACTTGAGCCAGTATGCAAGGATTTAAATGGGACTTTGTTTAAAGAGTAGCAAACATGAAGTATTATTATCTAGTACTAAGCTAGCAGTTAACATGTCTATTTTTGCTGTCTCACCACCAATACTGTAAAAATGTATAATCAAAACAGCTTTAATTCTTGTAAAACTGAAATTGGTTTGTAAAACTATGTACAAATTGTGTTTCATAGACAGAAAAGCTTGTATTACTGAATGTAATATATGTGAAATGAATATATTATAGTCTATTTTTGCCATGGAAATAAATATTTGAAGCAAGTATGAGGGTTTCTTGTTCCATTATTAAAAGAAAAAAATCAGATAACTTAGTTTTCATGTGTAGTCCTAGGTTGGGACTTTACCTTCCATACACAAAGGTGTTTTATCCCTCTGGTAAAGCACTGCAAGTACTGTCCTGTATCTCAGTACGAATATAAAACTTGTACTTTCAAATGCTAATAGCTGACATCTTTGTGGCAGGAAGGTTTTGTGCCTGCTACCATAGCATTATTGTTTATAATGATCCGCATTTTCTAAAGCTATTTTTAGTATTGAACAATTTCCCCGTAGCCTTTAAGTGAAGGGGGGATAAAAAGGTTTTGAGAGTTGAAAAACCCTTTCCAAAAACATGTGAGAGGAAAAAGTTCATGGTATACTTACATACTATCACTGGAGCTGCTATGAATAACTAACACTGAAGTTTTTCTTCATTTTATAATTGATATTTAGTCAAAAAGTGACGTGGTGCCAGAGGTTTGCTGTATTAACACCTGGTGCAGCACAAGACCTCATCACGTCATGATAAATGAATTGCATGTTGGACATTGCAATTTCAGAGCGGACATTTGCATTTCCCTTGGTTTTGCTAAATGTCTAATGCACTGACCACTGAACTACATCTGAAATGACTGCACTTTTAACTAAAATCTTTCTTCTAGGTATGCTCAATTTGGTGGCTTTAATGAACCTCAGGTAAGACAGTAACATACCAGCTACTTATGTACTTGTCTGATCAATTCCCAAACACTGGGTACTGAACCCTATGCAATATTCAAGTGTGAGCAAAACTCTTACTACTTGACATGGATTCAAAATCAGAAGAGGGAAATGTACCTTCTTGGGGTTCTAAGGACGTGGTAAAACCACTCAGGTATTCTGATCAGTCTTACTATTTATAAGGGGTTTAGACCTGAGGCAAAGGTCTCTTAGAAACCTGAATTTTTCCTAAATCTGAATTGCTTTAAACTGTAGCTGTCCTTTTCCAGCTACTGTAGAATCCACAATACAGCCTTCTGGTGGCCAGAGCTGGCTGGCAGGGAAGTGGCTTGACTCTTGGATTTGGCACATCTGACCAGCAGCTTTCTTGGGCAAGAGCTCTAGGACTTGGTACAAGAGAAACTTAGGGGAGCTGATGAGAGAGGTTCCTAGACTAGGGTCTTGACCAGGGGAACTTAAGTAGTTCTCATTCCAGATTTAAGCAACCCTGACAGCTGAATGGCTGTGGATAGATGGAGGTTACATGAAACTCAGCAATGCTAGGTACCTAGCTGGAAGTTTTACCTCTGACAGTTTCTCTGTTTAGGATCTGATGGGGGGTTTCTTATACCCACTCCTTTTCCCTGGGGGGTCAATGACAGCATATAAATGTGTGTTCTCTCTCTCCACTATTTTTATGAGCATCCCCTGGAAGGCTGGACATGAAATGAAGACTGCATGAAAGCAGAAGCTGCCCAGTGCCACAGAAACATTGCCAGTTTACCTCCTGCAGCCTGAGAACTACTTGTGGATAATCACAATCAGTGAATACGATGGGAATGTCAGTTATGCAGGTACTGACAGGAGATGCTGCTGCAGAAAAGCTGGAGTGAGGACTGGGTGATCGGTGAATGCTCATCAGCTCTGATCCAAGTAAGTTATTTCATATTGCTGTATATCCCATTGGCTTAGTCTGGCTCTTGGGCAAGTGGAACCTTCTGCCGTCAGCACTTGGGGTCTGTGGCACCAGTGGAATGTAACGCTTAGGGAAATGGTGGTTCTGATACTTAAAAGCTATTTCTGTTGTTACCACAGTTGCTTTAAACTAGGATATGGGTGAGCCTGGGGCTATTTTACCACAAAATGGCTTTATCTTTCAGAGCTACACAGGGTTAAAGACATGTTGTTTTGACTTCATGGCATTCTTTGGGAGCTTTTCTAAAGCAAGGTCTTGCAAAATGGCGTAACACAGATGTGGGAGCTAGAAGGGGTAGAGCTTAGAAAAACTCTGTCCCATTTCTGATCAATCGCCACGTCTCCCAAACTGGTCTGCATGCCAGTCATCTTCCAGATGGAAACCTAAGTTTAAACCAAGCATCTGCCATCCCCAACATACCAAACCAGTGTTATTTGCTGCCCTGATTATTCTATGGATCTAAAATATCTGCTGTAATAAACGAAACCACCAGAAAAAGCTTGGAGGGCATGCAGATGAGATTCATATTATTATTATTATTAGCCATTTCTAAAATGACAATCATGTGACTTAATATAAATTTAGAAGGACATCAAATCCTTCCACGAAGAGACCCTGACTTATCATACCCAGAGGCGAATGAAGAATTTTCACTGGTGTTAAGTACCTGTGAAGAAAGACCCTGTCATGCCTGGCTAATACTGATAATCAGTGACTTGAAGGAACTGCATACTTTGTGTGTGCATGTGTGTATCCAATTTCTTCTGTCTGCATGCTGTGCTATTCATGCCTGATGGAAGCTGAATTTTTCCATTGACAAAATCTTTAGCAAAAGACTTCAGAAGTTGGGAGATAGTTTAGTTTTAGTTTGATAATGTGGAAGATACTATTTTAGCAGATTTAGCAGGGTTTATTGAGTTTTCTGCCCCACAGAACTAGAGATGCAGTAGCTTCAATGCACTGTGAAAAAAAGTCTACCTAAAATAAGGAGCATTGCTGAGTGGATGCACTCCCTGCAGTCAGAGCAAAATTTATATTAGTGCTATGGTGTTAGTTGGCAGGGCTGCTAATGTGAGTTTAGCACTTTCAGTGCATTTATACCATCAAACTGGAAACAAAATGCTTCATTTGAGCTTGTTTTCAGGACAAAAGGTCAGCCTCATTCCCCTGCACAATAGTGGAGTTTAAATAATGACAAGCAGAACTGAGGCTAATTTATATTCTCTGCTGAAAGAAACTGGACTACTACACCAATGGTACAGACTGAATTGTCCCCATTACCTGTGAAGCCAGCTTGGGCCATGAGCTGGCCAGCCCCACTGCTCCCCTGCCCCATAGCTCTGTCATTGGAGTGTGCCTGAGACTGCAGCTTGAGTGCTGTATGGCAGGGGTGTGCTCCCACCTACCAATTACTTCTTTGGGTAAAGGGGCAGACAACAAGCAGCTGGTTGTGGAGATGTGCCCGCAAGCCCTCTGGAGAGGTCTGACTGCACCATGAAGTGAACTGAACATTGGATCTAAGAGGTCTAAAAACAGCCATGGGGAAAACATGTGCTATGGAAAACTACTGTGAGAGCCTTTTGAAAGACCCACATTTAAGCTGAAAGCCCCTGTGTAAGGCTTAATACTCTCAATTTGGGAGGAGAGGACCCATCATGCAAACTTGTTCAGAAAGGGAAGCTGAGATGAGACCTCCAGGAGCTATTCTGTCTTTCTCTTGCAATCAACTGTTATCAGAGTTGGTTGTGCCCAGCATTTGGGAAGCCTCATAACCAGCTCCCAAACCTATGTGATCTGTATTATCTCCAGTCTTGCCTGAGTCAAACATCAGGAAAAGCAGAGGGCCAAATGCCTCTGAGCTGAATTTCTGGTTGGGGAGGCTACACCTCTGAGGTCCTGCAAGGAATTCTCAGGCTGGCAGAAGAGCAGACGGCCTTTGACACGTTGCTTCACTTCTTATTTGGCATGTGAACATGCTTATGAGTGAGAGAAACAGTATATGGGAAGAGCTTGGGTCACCTCATACTTCTGTTACTCATGTTCTGGAATCAAGCTCCAGCTGCTGTGAGATGTAAGGTATGCCACAGCCCTCGTGCAGATACTGTAAGGGGAGTCCTGAATTCTTGGGATAACTGCAGGGAGCTCTGCACCTCGTGCTACAGATCACACTGCCTGTCCTCTGCGAGAATGGGACAGCACAGCTCTGTAGCCTGCCAGACTGAGGCGGTGTTTGAGTTTCAAGTTTCCTATGCTTCCCTACTCCATTTATATAGCATTTACTTGCCCTTCTCAAGGTCTAATTTCATTCCCCCAATGTGGTAGGGCTGGGAGGATCAAAGGGGAGACTCTGTGTGCCTGTGATCTGCAGAGCAGTGAGGGCACAGCAGCAGCCCGTGCCTGTGCCTGCTGGGGAGGGTTGTTCGGCAGCTTCAGCATCCCTCCAGCCCAAAATGTGGTGCTGGGTTCAGAGTCTCTGCCTTTTGCAGACCAGTCTGACTGTTTAAAAGATGAATGCAAAGGTAACTTTCATGTGTTGTCAGGCACACTTCCTGGACTTCAATCTGGTGGAATTAGCTTAATGTGTGAGCTAAAAGGATCAGTCCTTTTAGGAGGCCTAAAGAGAAAGCCCTGCTGCTCTGGAGGCTTTATACAGAGACCAGAAAGTTCCATGCACAGTAGACCCAGCATTCTTAATTTTGGTTCCTTTCACTCGAATTAACACTTCTTGTTGGTACTCATGGACTACCTGCCATCCTGGAGTCCTCCTAACTAAGGTGGCTGAGGTGGAGATGAGCTATGGGTGCTCTACAGCTCGACTGATGATTTGTCATGCCAGTGATAACTGCTGATTCTTCTTTTCCTCCCCAGCAGTGCTTTATCCCTGTGACATGCTCAGCTTCCGCTGGCCCACAACCCGCTACAGGTTTTGAAACTGGATCCCTTGACTGGTTGTGACCCACGCTGGTGCAATGGCTGGTGTGGCTGATGATTAGTTTACCGCTCACCTGTTTACGTATCACTTGCTTTGCTACTTGGAATAGAAACTGAAGATGGTTGTTTCTGAATGAAGCAGATTTCACTACTGGTTAAGGAAACAGGAAGATTGGACTGCTTGTGAGTATCTGGTCTGGATGTTTCTGAGAGAGAAATCGTCTTCATTAAAATCACTGGTTACTGTTCTGTTCCTTGTAATCTGTGTACACACCAGTGTTGGCTCCTGAGAACAGCGGGTTAAGTGCTTGGGAAGTGCCAGTGAAAGGTTTGATGGCTCTAGAAACATCACACAGCTGTAGGTGCTATAAATTAAGCTCCTGAACTTGATTTTTACTTAGTCTGATGCTCCAGTATTCTTGTTGATACTCCTTGCACAGATAATTGCTGAGAAAAAAGTGGGAATCCCCACTGGCTGATGGAGGTATTTGTTCTTCAATTATGAATGTTATCAGTTGAGCTGCATCATACTACAACTAGTGTTGCATAGCTATAGCTGATGTGAAACCGTACAGAAATGCAAAGAAACAGGACCCTGGAGTCATCCTGCAGCTAAGCCTAAATGACAAATGTGTAGGTGTCTTAGACATGTGGTCAATCAGGGATAAAATGATAGCTTGGGTTTTGTTTGCAGGTTTTTGTGCTCTGGTCAGCCCTAAGACACCTTTTTCTTTCATCATAACTTTACTTCAAATGACCAAAAGCCCCACTTTGCTTTGTAAATGAACAGAATCCTCCCTTTGAAAATAAGAAGAGTGATGACAAAACTGTAGGCTTTAAAGATAAGAGGTCAGTTTGTTATAGAGTGAAGTAACAACAGCCAGCTTCTGTCCATTTGAAGTGAATGTTGAAGTTGTTATGCACATGCTTATCACCCACATAAATATGAGCAGAAATAAGTCTTTACATTGCAGTGACTGCTCCCAAGTTTGTTACTTCTAAAGTATTCAGGGACGTGGGCCAGGCTTGCCTACCGAGCTACTTAATTTACGCATTAAGCACCACCTTAAAGCAAACATGAATAAAAAGGAGAGCTCTAGGCCCTTGCTAGCCTGAATTCGCTTTTGGATCTGTAGATAAACTCGTTGATTTTATAAAGATAACATTTATCTCTAAGGTTTTTTCCCACTGTGTGGTGGGAGCGGCTGTACAATGAGAAACAGTTCCTTGGACTGGACTGATTGCTCTGGCAGCTGGGACAGGAGTGTGATCTTCTGGTTCTTTAGCAGGAATTTCACTCTGGTTTAGGCAAACAGATGAGTTCTTTGTAAAAAGTCTGTTTTAATTAATTAATTTACCCGTTAAATTCCATCTAGCCAGAAAAAATGTCACTGATGACAGGAAATATGGTCAAGGAACTGTTTGTTTTCATGTTACTCATACTACAGGAAATTAGTATGTTGTTATTGCACCTTTCTGCGAGGTGACACCATGACCACTTGCATTACTGTGCTTTTTAGTTCCTTTTTTTTATTTGTGGAATTTAATTTCAAATTCCTATTTTAGACTTATGCTGACCACAAGCTAAAGTCTGCTGAATGATCTTTCTTATGACATGCAAGTTATTCAGTGTAGCGACAGGTAGGGAAAAGTCATCTATGTTCCATTATCAACAGATAGAAGAGCTCAGAATGGAGGGCCCCAGGAGTGGGTGCGTTCCTGGCTGAGGAGCAAAGAGGCTTTATACTTGGAGGTAGCTAACCATGCTCTTTAGTTCTCTTACTGATCCCTCTGGTACAATTGTTCATACAACAGAAACAATAGCTCCCTTCGTGCATCTGGCCCTTCAGCTCTGTGGGGTAAGGAACAGAGAGGGAGTTTCCTTTTGGACAGAGAAGAGCTTTTTTGGTCCCTTGTGACTGAGGACAAACCATCCCTGAACAGCACTGAACCACCCCTGTGAGTGTGTCTTTTCAACAGGACAAGCCCTGATGGAGGGATGCAACAATCCTCACATTATCTTACCTACTCTTTAGTGAGCCAGAGCACTCAAGCTGCAGGCCAGATTTACATGACAGCCAGCCGAGTGGCGGCAGATGAAAGACTTGTGCCCATCTGCACTGCCGCATGCACATGGCTAAAATAAACCCCAGTCTGCATGTGTCATTTATTATTGCAGCGTCTGGCACTGTCCGCATGTGTCATTTATTATTGCAGCCAGGAAGGTGCATTTTGCTTTTTTGGGGAAGTTCTGTTCAGCAATGCTGCTGACTGTGCCCAAAATGCTACTTTTGTTTGATTTTCTTTGAGTCTTTTTTAGATTTAATTCTCCCCAACAAAAAACAAACCAGTTTATGCTTCACATGTGAAGCAGTGACCTATGTGTATTGGAGGTACTTATGGCTTCAACAGTCATCTCCTCACAGAATCAATGGTCTTTAGCAGACACTCATGAGTCCTGGGGGAGGCAGGTTGTAGCAGTTGTGCATGTGAATTGTAACCACTTGGGTTTGTCCTTGCAGGAAGCAGAATAAGACCAACTCGAGAGGTGTTTGGCGACAGGCTTTACTGGTTCTTAAGGCTTCTTATAGTTCCTCACCTACAGCAAGAGAATGTAATATCCCAGCATATCCTTGGAACATGTTGAGCTCCTTCTGCAGTAACATGAATGCCAGGTAATGGCTGTACTCTTGATTACACAAAGAAATTTGGGCTGATTTTTTGTAATGCATGTGCTAACTTCAATTTAAACTTTCATCATAAAATAGACCCCCTCTTTTCTCCATTTGCTGTAGAAGATACCTGATGTATCTTCTACTTACGTAGTCCTAGCCATCAACTGGTATCCAAGTCACCCTCTTCCCAAAACCAAAGCTTGACGCAAAACGCTACCCCAAGGTTGCCATTAATGCAAGAAACCGAACTGGGTGTTCTAGTGTTGTGCAGTTTGAAAACTGTTGCAGTCTTCACTTTTCAGAAACATCAGCTGAATCATGAGCAACGAGGATTAAACAGCTGAAGAGCTGCGTATCAAACAAACAAATGAGCTGCGTACTAAACAGCTCAAGAGCCACCATATGCAGTACCTAGAGATAAATGTCTTTTTCAGGCCAGAAAGCTGACAGGAGGTTAGGCGAAGCCTGAGAGCAGCTAATAATGAAAAATGTCTCTTTCTACCTGTTGGTGCAAGGCGTAAGGTAATTGGGTTCATGGCTGAGGGCTGAAGAAGGAACGATCATCTGCCAGCACCAAACGAAATTCTTATGTTTGGAAAGCTACCTCTCCGCACTCACTCCTTATCTCACCCTAGGTAATGCAAGGAAAATGAATGTTTCTTACAGTCAACTTTTTTTTTCTTTCGCAGTAACTGTAAAACATAAGAACCTCATGCCTCAATGGGACTGAACATCCAACAGTGCCCTCTTCCAGGATGGACAAACAGTTCCAGGTATTTAGGCATGCTTTGATGTGGGTAAGTTGAATTCTTAGAGACGGAAAAATCTTGGATCTTTCTATCAGGAGCACAACTGTACTAGCAATAAATTTATTTATTATAAATAAAAACTAATAAATGTTTCATAACTTACTAATACAGCTTTCTAAAAATATACATCTAATTTTAATATTCTTAAAAGTTAATTCTTAGTTATAAAATTATAGACAAAATGGACAAAAGTTGTTTGATAACTGACATTTTACCCTTTAGAGTCTACATTAATAGGGAGCTAGATTAATGCCCAATTAACAGTATCCTGCTAGAGAGATTTCCGCAGTAAACAGGAATAAACTAAAAATAAACCTAATAATTTACTACTATTTTCCAAATGGCAGTTCTCCACAGAACTAGCTCTATCCCTGTTTAACAGCTAAGTTTTGGCTACTATTATGTATAGTCTTGTGAGATCCGAAGGGCCTTTGCAAAGCTTTCCTCAAGATCACCAATTTCCTCATTGGCTTCCAAACCACTGGCACAAGTAATCAAGTTTAAAGTTGCCTCACATGAAGGTAAAATGTCTCCATCTTCTTCAGATTTCACATAAGAACCAGACACTGCCCCAGCATCCATCATTTCAGTGAGATCTTCTGAAAAGTCATTCTTGCTCTGTGTCTCCTTTGAACCTTCCCTGAATGTTGGTGATTCGCATTTTTCTGGTTCCTTTAATAAGTCCATGGTCCCAAAGAATTCATCATTTTTTGTAGCTTTTCCTTGTCTCTGACTTTTACTGATAATTTCAAGCTCTTCCACTGTATCGAACTCTCGCAGATCCAGCGAATCCAAGGCTTCCCAGCCTGTGTGGTTGTGCTCCGCATCGCTGCCCGGACTGCAGCCAAGGTCTGCTTTCAGTACATTCAACAAATGGCGCATTTTGCTCTAAGGGGTGAAGAAAGAAAGGGGTAACACTCCTCCAGCCCCAAGGTGCCTGTCTTCACAGAACTCGGGGTTTAACTCTGACAGAAAGAAAGGGAGGCTGCTTGCAGTAACTGACTGAATTATACATCAAGTGTCTCCAAACTGAGTTAATTATTGTCCCTTTTTTGTGACTCTGCCTGTGACTCTTGATATACTGTGATCTTTGAGTCTGCAAGTCTCATTTATGGAGAGAGATGCTTGCCACTGAGGATTCTGGTTGTTTTTACTGGCAAATACACCAGTGCATGGTTGAAGCCACTGTACTTTGGAAACAGTACTCCACCTTTTACAAAGTGACAGGACAAGGTAGATTTAATTAGATATAAGAGAGAAATTTTTCATTGCGAGGGTGGTGAGGCACTGGAATAGGTTGCCCAGAGAAGTTATGGATGCCCCATTCCTGGAAGTGTTCAAGGCCAGGTTTGACAAGGCTTTGAGCAACTCGGTTTAATGGAAGATGTCCTTGCCCATGGCAGGGGGTTGGAAGTAGATGATCTTTAAGACTGCTTCCAACCCAAACCATTCTATGATTCTATGAAGATATATGCAAAGAGGGATAGTATTAAAGGGGCAGCACCTACCTCATCCAAACGGTTCTTATTTTCCTCTATGAAACACTCAAAGAGTTTTTCCAGAATTCTACAAACGAACAATTAAATTATTCCACAGGAAGAAAAACAACTCTTAACAGATCTACATAAATTAATGCCCTTAGTTTTTAATTTTCATTTCTTAGCTGAACAGGACCACTAAGATTGTTTCAATTATGCCTGTGTCCTGGGTTCAGCAGTAGCAGTCATTTTTTCCTCCTTAGTAGCTGGTGCAGTGCTGTGGTTTTGATTTTCAGCCTGGGAACAGTGCTGATGACACCCATGTTTTTAGTTGTTGCTCAGTAATGTTTAGTCTGACCAAGGACTTTCTGAGTCTCATGCTCTGCCAGGGAAGAGGGGAAGCCAGGAGGAAGCAGAGACAGGACACCTGACCCAAACTGACCAAAGAGGTATTCCATACCACAGCACATCATGCCCACTATATAAACTGGGGGGCAGTTACCCGGAAGGGCTAGATCACTGCTTGGGTCGGGCTGGGTATCGGTTGGCGGGTGGTGAGTGGTTGTATCTCATGGTACATGGCAGCAAATCAAAGCAGATGACCCACAGGTCTTTCCTAGTTCCCCTTTCATACATAAAGCAAAAGACAAAACAAAAGCCAGGGCTAACTGTGTATCTCAATATTCTTAAATACACCTAGATGATTACTAAAGTCGGCTTCCTTTTCTTACTGAGTCCATGTGTTTCTGACACAGCACTACAAGTCTGAAAGCAACTGTAACTTACCTGTTAGAAAATAGCTCAAGGCTAAGAACTTCATTTGTTACTTCTTCAATGAAAGCTAAATATAAAAACTCTTCTCTGCAGGGAGAATAGAAAACCCAGTGTTACATGTTTTAAAAATGCTTTAAAATAGAGACATATTGCACAATGTAGGAGGTCCAATCACCTTTATGGGAAATACGATTCAGAAGATTGTATTATTTCTTGGCACCAGCTTCTATTTTTCTAAAAGGTAACTGTATCAGGACAAACTTTCATTCAATTTGAATAATAATAAAAACCCTGTGTAAAATATCAGACTATTAGAAAGGTCACTGTGGTGCTTTGTGTTTATGCTCTTTCTGTTGTGGTATAAATTAGCACAGAGATCCTGAGTGAGGAAATCAGCAGATTTTGGAAAACGTTCAGAACTTGCTTTGCACTCCCAAAGAAAAGGGCGCTGTTGGGAAGAAAGTGTAAAATTGCAGTCTGATGCTCTAAGTAAAGGCTTCCAAAGAAGGTGCTACAGAATCTCACTGCACCTCAAAATTACTAGTCTTCCAGTAAGCTCAGGAAAGCGCTTATTTTACAGCCATGTTTCCTTTCAAACAACTCTGATACACAAAATCCTTGTTAGTGAGAGATGTGGCTTTTACCTCTTTGAACAAATTTCTATTTTAATACTGCTTAAAGCCTTGTTGATGCCAATTGCTCCAAACTCAAGACTCCAAAAATTCAGAATTCTGTTTGGAAAACAACAAGGAAGAAACCCCCAGAAGCAAAGATTTCAGTGCTGTTTCTCTTTCACAGTGTCTTTCTAAATATCCCAAAGTATCCAGTCAAGCTCTAGCGAATCATCCGCCAGTCTTAATAAACAGAAAATAAAAAATAGGATATATCTACATGACTTTAGTTAGGTAAAATTTGTCATCTAGCCTGAAGATTGTCATTTTGTTTCCCCCTACAGTAAAGGAAGTTACCTAGAGGCAATCTTTGATACCTATATTAAATCCTTAGAGTTAGGCAAGAACAAACCTATCCTAAAGCCCAAAGAATAATAATAATAATAACTTAAACCTCTTCTAATTCTCACCAAATTTCAGAGCAGAAATGTGGTAAGAATGGTGTTCAACTTGGTATTTTATTTTTTCAATATTTGCTTCAGAGATTACAGACCAAAAAAGAACTGGAACTGTTTGTAATCCCTGGGCAAGAAGTCTATCTTTCTTCCAAAGTTACAATGAATTTTCTTCATTTTTAGATTCATGTGGAAATTTTAAACTCTTACGTAACAACTCAATCATGTTAATTCTACTGCAAACTGTGAACAACAGTTTATCTGAGTCCTCATTTACTGCATCAGTTTTGAGGAAGAGTTTCCAATTTAGTGTTGCAAACTACCAGAAGAACAGTTTAAGCATACTTACTCAGCCTCAATGGTCCTCCTTGCAGAAGACTGCTGAGAATACAACGGTGTCTCTCTAATCAGAAAATCAAAGGGTGAGAGACATTCTAAACACCTTTTATATATTACCTTCCATCTCATTTTCTTCTGGAGCTATGCTGTGCCGTTACCCTGCTTCCTCTTGGGAAAAAATCCACCAGAACACCCCCAAACCCTGCTCCAGTAGCAAAATCCACTGCTTACATTTATTCCTGAATTACACAGAAGCCTGAAAGATAATGACTCCAGAGTATTTTAACACTTCACTAGATGCAGTGCTATAATATCTCAAAGCCCTCGGTGTTACTTCAGATGCTATAAAGACCTCCATTACCCTAAGAGTGCTTTTTTTTTTTTTAAACTCAGAGTGCAGCTTTTCCTCATCTGAAAATGCCTTTCCCTGAAAGGACCAGAGAGCAAACCAGCAAGATGTGCATGATAATTAGACCAGCAATGAGGAGAATTGGGTGGTAGCCCTTGGGCTCTGGCCTGATTTCCAACACTGTTCTTGTACTGTAGACAGTATTCTGTTACAAAGCTTTACATTATCAGAAAAAGATATGGGAAATGCCTCTCATCTGCAGTTCTTGTAGATCATAAGATTCAAAAGGCCAGTTGCCTGGAGACTCTTTTTCCTGAAAGAAAATACCAACTGGAATGAAAATCCAATATAGTCAGTAGTACTAGTAGTACCACTGTAAGTAGTGCTGTGTCGTACTAGTAAGTAGTACTGTGTAAGAAATACACAACCTATAAGCTCAGATGTACAGAACTAACAGCTGTACTGATGTGCCATTGCTCCCACTCCTGACGAAAATACTCATATATTTCAGAGCTCTCTTCCTTAACTGGTTTCCCAGTGGAACTTTATCATAAGAAAATAATGAATTTTGAAGTTGGGAAAGGCCATTGATACATAAAAATACAAAGCAAAGTCCTGTGAGATTTCTAGAGAGAACCCATAGTGAAGGCTTATGGCCTAAGAAGCAGCTGTATAGAAAGCAAGAAGGCTTCAAACATTCATTCCTGCTCTAAATTAAATACCTGAGGAAGGAGTATGGAAAAGCAGCTATTCTTCTCTCAGGCTCATGCACAGTATATCTTCTATCTTCAGCCTACAACACAGAGATAAAATCTTTACTTAAATGCAAGCACACAGCAAATTTTACCATTAAAATGAACCTAATAACGATCTATGATTAAACAGCCCTACAGATTTTATGTATTTTTTTTTTTTAACTTTGGGTAAACTAAGACATATGGCAGCAAATGGTCATCAGTTTTGACATCCAAAATTTCAGTGAGGG